CTCTCTGCCTACTTGTGATCTCTGTCAAATAAATAAATAAAATCTTAAAAAAAATGATAATAGTGGCGCTTGGCTGGCTCAGTTGAAAGAGCGTGTGACTCTTGATCTCAGGGTTGTGAATTCAAGCCCCGTGTTGGGGATAGAGATTACTTAAAAATAAAATCTTAAATAAAATAAAAATTAAAAATAATGCTAGTATAGGTAACTGACAGTTAGGTAGTGCTTACTGCATGCCCAGTCCTGTTCGATGTGCTTTATGTTATTCAGTCATTTATTCTTTTTTTTAAAGATTTTATTTATTTGACAGAGACACAGCAAGAGAGGGAACACAAGCAGGGGAGCAGCAGAGGGAGAGGGAGAAGCAGGCTCCCCGCTGAGCAGGGAGCCTGATGTGGGGCTCGATCCCAGGATCCTGGGATCATGACCTGAGCTGAAGGCAGACACTTAACAACTGAGCCACCAAGGCACCCCTCACTCATTTACTCTTAAAATGGGCCAACGAGATATTATTAAGATCCCTACTAAGCAAATGAGGAAAACCAAGTCCCAGAGAGGTGAAGCCATTTGTCTCAAGGTCACGTGGCTAAAAAATGGCAGAGTAGAAGTTCACATCCAAGCAGGCTAGTTTCAGGATCTGTGCTTGTGACCTTATGTTACAAAATAAAGTGTAATCATCAATCACAATTTAGAATCCAAACATCTGCCCAGTTTTAAGAAATTAAGAACATCCTAGGTCAGGTGGGGAGTTTCGTTCTTGGTGGTTGGTTGTCGAGGTGGGTGGGTATTAACTGAGCCAAGATGCTGCGGAATCTGCTGGCTCTTCATCAGACTGCCCAGAGGACCATAAGTACTGCTTCACGCAGGCAGATTGAAAATAAAGTTCCAGAGAAACATAAGCTATTTCAGGAGGATAATGGAATTCCACTGCATCTAAAGGGTGGAGTAGCTGAAGCCCTCCTGTTTAGAGCTACTATGACGCTTACAGTTGGTGGAACAGCATATGCCATATATCAGCTAGCTATGGCTTCATTTCCCAAGAGGCAGGATTGACTTCAGTTTATCATCTCAGCAGGCAGTTGGATCAGTTTCTTTCAGCTCTCTATGGACCAGTAACTGATAAATGAGTTCTTCTTTGGGGATCAATACTTATTGACTTATACTAACTGCCACCAATAAAGCAGTCTTTACCATGAAAAAAAAAAACGAACATACTAGGTCAATTTAATCACAATTAGTACTAGGTAAGAAAGAAATGAATAGAGCGCTGTGCTGGAGAGTTTCAGAATTTGTGTTGGGGGATACCACTTAAAGGGTGACATTTGAACAGAGCACTGAAGGTTGCAAAGGAGCCAGTCATGTGAAGAACTAGATGAAAGGAATAGTGTTCTGGGTAGAAAATATCCCAGGCAAGAGAATAAAAATTCTCTGTGAGCCTCAGTATTCTCATCTGAAAATGGGGACAAAGGATCTTGTTTTTTAAAAAAGATTTTATTTATTTATTTGACAGAGAGGGAAAGCACAAGCAGGGGAAGTGGCAGGCAGGGGGAGAGGGAGAAGCAGGCTCCCTCTGAGCAGGGAGTCCGATTTCAGACTCTATCCCAGGACCCTGAGATCATGACCTGAGCCAAAGGCAAATGCTTGACTGACTGAGCCACCCAGGTGCCCTGGGGACAAAGGATCTTGTCTGGACCCCTGTGAGAACTCTTTTAGCCAGGAGTTGAGCAAGGGGCTGGCCTAGTTTTATTCGCTTTGCATGTTTCTCCAAGGCTGAGGGCTGACGATGAGGAGCTGTGGGTAGTGCCGGCCTTGGAAATGCCCGGAAAGCTGTCTGTGCCTAGGCTCCCAGACACAGATCCACCCTCACAGAAGGGGTCTGGCAGTGGGGCTATTTGTGATGCTGACAACCTGGACCAGCAGCTTCCAGATGGAGCCTGCCAGAGGTCTTGGATTGTAACTGCAAGGTTGCGACTGGGCAAGCAGAAAATTGCCCTCAGTGGCCTCTGCCCTCTCTGACTTGGCCTCTTAACAGATGGGTGAATTCAGAGTCATTTGACATTTGTGCCTCCGTGTCCTTATCTGTGAAGTGGGGATAATGAGTTACGACGGCACCCTACCTAATGCAGGGGCATTATGGGAATTACGCCAACTGTAAAATGCATCTGCCAAGCGCTGGGTATATTGCAGCCAATATTGTTCTGATTCTCTGCTTGTCTGCTCCCTCACTCCTCCCCTGTTCAGCTCTGCAGCCAGATGGAGCAGCTGGAGCGGGAGAACCAGCAACTGAAGGATGGGGCTGCCAGGGCAGGCACTGCCCAGGCTGGGGGTCTTGTGGATGGCGAGCTGCTGAGACTGCAGGCGGAGAACACGGCCTTGCAGAAAAATGTGGCAGGTGCAAGCAGACCCTCCTTGGGGATGTGGGGACCTTGGGGATTGAGTAGGGTGTTTTCCCGCTGGGAAGGGAAAAGACTTCAGAATCAGGCTGGGCCTGGCTGTGAACCAGCGTATAACTTTGGACAAGCCATTTCACCTCTGAGTCAAAGCTTCCTCGTCTCCAGGGTGCTTGTGGGGATGTCCACCACGTGGGAGACTGAAGTAGAGCTAAGATGAGGTGGTATCTTTCTGGGTTGAGTTCAGTGCCTGGTACCTAGCGAATGTTACAGATTAGCAGATCGGACACCAGAAAGGAGCTCTTTGCTAAATGGAGAGAGTGAGTGAAGGAGCTTTTGGAAGACTCTAAGCCCGGATTGAATGTGGGGTCTGGGAGCAAGGCTCCAAGGAGACTTGGTAGAGTGTGGGAGGGTCCCAGTGTGGGGGTGTTTGGAGAACAGCTGAGGCCTGTGGTGTGGTAGGTGCTGATTTGGTGATCAGGAGGGAGGCTTTGTAGATTTGGTTGAGGATCAGTTGGTTACAGGATTCAGCTGTAAGCAGCTGGGGTGGAGGGTGGTGATCATCACCTTGGAGGGCTGTGGGTGGGTCCTGGGGGTTAGGGGGTGGAGCTTGGGGAAACTGTGGACGGGATTTCAGTGGATGGGAGAGCTTAAAAGATTTGTGAGGAGTGTGGATGGACCTGAGCCTTTGTTTTGTAGGCGCTTGGTCATTTGGGGCAGGGTCTCTTCTGCCTGAGGGATCCAAGGCCAACTCTTCCATCTGCTTTTGGCATGGCAGGGGTCTTCAGAGAACACCTCCTCCATCATCTGTTTCTGTTCTACCCCCCAGCCCTGCAGGAACGCTATGGGAAAGAGGCTGGGAGAGCCCAAGCTGCCAGTGAGGGCCAAGGGGACCCCCCGGGGGGCCCCGCCCCCACTGTCCCAGCCCCCATGCCACTGGCAGAAGTGGAGTTGAAATGGGAAATGGAGAAGGAAGAAAAGAGATTGCTCTGGGAGCAACTACAAGGCTTGGAGGTGATTCTGTGTCTGTTGGGGCTGGGGTGTCAGGACGCAGGCAGATGCCCTAGGTCTGCCTGCAGTCCCACGGAGATGTCTGTGATCTCACCAACTCGTGGGCGGACAGATTAGGGAGGCAGGAGGGCAGGGGAAGGCACAGGTCTTACCTCCCCCTTTGCTCATATTAACTCCCTCCCTCATCCTTCCCCTGCAGAGCTCGAAGCAGGCAGAAACATCCAGGCTGCAGGAGGAACTTGCTAAGGTGGGGCTGCTGAGCTTTCCCTGGACTTTGTCCCCCTACAACTCCCCACCTGCCATGCTTCTCCTGGCTGGGAAGAAGGACCAGAGTACTCCCCCACCCCCCACAAAGCCTGAGTTTCCTCATCTGAAATGGAGAGACGCACATTTATGTTTCACAGTTGCTTTCAGTATAGAATAGGGCTAATAGGGTTCCTCTGTCTCATGGATGGCCAGCCCCATCCCTCCCTTCTGAGTCCTCGCAGCTCTCCTTGTTCATCCGTCCATGCATTCAAGCATTTATAGACTGCTGGCTCTTAACTTGGATACTGAAGATCAAGTGATGAAGCTGGCAGTCATGATCCTGCTTTCCAGGCCCTCCTGCTGTAGCCATTCTGTGACATGGCTGTCAGTCCATATGTTGGGGGTGTAAATGCTGGCCTTTGGAGCCTAAGGGAACTGGGTGGAGATCATGTTGTTGCTACTGACCACCCGGGCAACCCAATTACTGAACCCTCCCGAGACTCCGTTTCCCCATTTATAAAACCAGTAATCCTCGCTTCTCAGGACTATTTCAAGGATTCCACAAGATAACATAAGTAACTTCCAGCTTCCGAAAAGGACTAGTGAGAAGTGTCTATAAATACTAAATTTATTTTTGTCTTTACTAATATGTTATCAATTGTCTGCACCCCCGTCCCCCCAACCAGCTATCTGAGAAACTGAAAAAGAAACAAGAAAGGTAAATTTTTTTTCCTGAGGTGAGGGGAGGGGTTTGGGGGGACCAGCGGGTGCGGGGGGACCAACATGTGGAACTGACCCATGTATGTCTCTCTGGGTCCAGTTTCTGCCGTCTGCAGACAGAAAAGGAGACACTATTCAACGACAGCCGGTAACTAGCAGGGATGGGCGTATGGGCAGACAGTGGGGACAGTGCCCCCAGCAGGATTGCCTGAAGGCCACAGGGGCAGAGGTGGGAGATAGGGCCTCAGGCCATGGTCAACAGTCAGGTCAGTGCCCCCCCCCATCACCCTCCAGGAATAAGATTGAGGAGTTACAGCAAAGGAAGGAAGCAGATCTCAAAGCCCAGTTGGCTCGCACTCAGAAGCTGCAGCAGGAACTCGAGGCTGCCAATCAGGTGAGCGGCTGGATTCGGGGGTTGCTGGGGTAAAAGCCAGGGCTGGGGGTCCAGGGATCCCTGAGGTCTGTGGAGACTAGTTGGGGAATCCAGTAGTTCCTGTGTTGGAAATATAGGGACTAGGTGGGTCCCAGGAGCTAGGAAAATGGGAACTAGGGAACCCCGAGAGCCTTAGGAGTTGGCCTATTGAGTCTGCCTGAATTAGAGATCTCAGAGGGGCTAAGGACTTGGGGGGGTGCCAAAGTTCAGATGAATCAGAAACTCTGCGGGATTGGAGGCAGGAGTCTGGAGAAATCTGTGGTCTCCAGGGACTGGGGCCAGGAGCTGGAATGAGCCGAAACTCCCTGGAGGTTGGGGACTTTGAGACCTGTGGGAGCTGGATAGATACAAGACTTTCAAGGGTGGACAGGTGGGCCTAGAGGCTGACTGTATGTGAGGCCCTCAGGGGCTGGGGGCTGGTTTGGAGGGCTGAGACAACAGGTAAGTGGGATCACTTGGGCTGAGTGGTCCTGAGACCTCTGGAGGCTGTGGATAAAAAAAGTTGGTGAGTCTAAGACATCCAGAGACTGAAACAAAATTTTTGGTGGGTCTCAGGGTCCCAAGGGTTAGGGGCTAGAGGACTTCTAAGCCTCCAGGCTTCCCCCTAGAGCAGGTGAGTCTGAGATCCCACAGATTAAGGGACACGGTGGTTTGTGGGTCTAAGGTCCCTAAGAGCTGGGGACGGAAGTCTGGGTAAGGCTGGGTCTTCAGTTACCTGGGTCTGAAGATCCCTAGAAACTAGGGACAAAAGTAGCTGGTTGGGGGCGGGGGTGGTCAGTCAGACCTCACCAGGAGGTGGAAACTAGGAGACTGTATGGGTTTTAGACCTCTAGGGTTTGGAGCTATGAGTTTGGGCAGACCCTGAGACTCTCGGGAGCTAGAGACACAGGGCTGGAGTGTGTCTGAAACCCCTGGGTGTTGGGGTCAGGAGTGATCTGGGTGAAGTTGTAGTTCCTGTAGGCTAAGTTTGTCCAAGAATCCTAGGGCATCTGAGCCAGAATCTGGGTGAGAGTGAGACCTCTTATGGAAGGGGGTGGGATGAGATTGAACTCCCCCAAAGCCTAGGTGTTCTTCTAAGATTCTTAGTCCTGGGATATGGGATCTGAGGCCCCTGGGGGTAATTACTACGAATTCAGGTGAGCCTAAGTCTGATGGCTGGGTAGTCTGGGACCCTCACGTGCTGGGGATATGCTGTCAGGTGGCCAGAGAGGGGTGTCTGTGCGGTTATAAGCACATCAGGGCAGGCTGAGGTCTGGAATGGGCTCCCTTGACCTGGTCCCTACAGAGCTTGGTGGAACTGAGAGATCAGCGGCAGGGGGAGCGCCTGGAGCATGCAGCAGCTCTGCGAGCCCTACAGGATCAGGTACGTGCTATGGGGCAGCTTCTGGGAGGTGGCGGGGGTGGGGGTCACCACAGCATGTTTTACACAAGCAGGAAAGGCCCCAGGGGTTCTGTTTCCCCCTGGTTCGTGGTACGTGTGCCCGTGGGTGTTTTCTTTCTTGGCCATGGGTGGGTCCTGCCCCCCCCCACACCATTCTGGACCCACTCTCACCTGGTGTGGGGGTGGGGCCAGGTGTCCATCCAGAGTGCAGATGCACAGGAACAAGTAGAAGGACTTTTGGCTGAGAACAACGCCTTGAGGACCAGCCTGGCTGCCCTGGAGCAGGTACAGGATACCTGGGAGCCCTTGCTGGACCCTCTCCAGCCTCCTGTCTCCTCCTGCTTCTGATCCACATTAGGGCAGGGCTGTCTGGATCTCATGCCATTCTCCTGCCTCTGTTTCTGCTTAATCCTTTGCTCCTTCCTTCCTTCATTCCTTCTTTCCTTCCTTCCTTCCTTCCTTCCTTTCAGGGAGAGAGATTGAGAGTGAGAACTGGAGGAGCAGCAGGGAGTGGGTCAGGGGGCAGAGGGAAAGAGAGAGACAGAGAATCTTAAGCAGGCTACATGCCCACCCCGGAGCCTGATGCGGGGCTCGATCTCACAACCCTGAGATCATGACCTGAGCCAAAATCAAGAGTCAGACGCTTAATCCACTGAGCCACCCAGGCACCCCTCTCAGCTTCTCTTTCCGATGGCTTCCACCCCTCTTCTCTCTGGCCACTCACCCCTGCTTCTCTTGCATTTTCTAGTTTCTCTCCTGTAAAGTATAAGAAGTGTACTAACCTTACGTGTACATTTGATGAATCCTATCTGTCTGGCAGTCTGTCTGTCTGTCTCCATGTGACTACCACCCAGATCAAGATGTAGAGCGTTTTCAGCAGTCCCCAGAAGGCCCCTTTTACTCCTTCCTAATCGATACTTCCCCAGAAATCACTCCACCGACCTCTAGTGCATAGATTAGTTTTACTTGTTCTTTAACTTCATGTAGTGGAATCAGATGCCCACTTTCGTGCCTGGCTTCTTTCCTGTGAGGCTCATCCATATGTAGCACTGGTCTGTTCTTTCATTTCTGTTTACTATTCTGCTGTGTGACTAGACTACTTTATCCATTCCCCCGTTGATCTCTTTTTCCCTTTGAAATTCTTTCTCTTTCCTCCTGGCTCTCTTCCTGCCTCCCTCCTTGTCTCCCTGGAACCGGGAGGCTCAAACCCTGTGGCTGTCCCCCTGGGGGCCCTTTTCACTCTGCTTCCCCTCACCCCCATTCATCCCAGATCCAAACAGCAAAGACCCAAGAACTCAATACACTGCGGGATGAGAATGCCGGTCTGGCGGCTGATTTGCAGCAGCGGCAGACTGAGTATGAGGACCTCATGGGACAGAAGGATGACCTCAACTCCCAACTGCAGGTGACATCTCTGGCCTTGACCTGGCTTCTCCCAGTTCCCTCGTGTGGGCTCGGGGAAGCCCTCCATGAGGCGCAGGTGGGGGAAGACTGGAGTCGGGAGGATCTGGGTTCCGGTCTGGTCTCCTAACTCACTAGCACCTTGTGTCCTAGACTGTGTTGCTCTCCTTCGCTGACACTGAGCGTCTTCAGTTAGACAGGATAGCCATTCTGAGCCCATGGTAGCAACTGGAATCATAGTGGCTTAAATCAGATAGAAGGCTAATTCTCCCTCATGGAAGAGTCCAGGTGGGCTGTCTAGGGAGGGAACGATGGCTGCGCCACGACCAGTGTCCCAGGTTCCTTCTACGTCACCACCTTCAATGAAAGACTTCTATCTTGGTAGCTAAGACACTTGCCCAGGCCCCCACTTCATCATGTTTGTTTTCCATGTGGAAGGAAGGAGGGAAGAGCGAAAGGGCCCAGCATGCCCCTTTCCTTTATGAGTATAACCTACCTCATGCTTACCACTTCCGCATACGGAAATTAATCGGTGAGGCCATGCCTCACTGTGGGGAGGCAGGGCAAAGTCAGCTCGACAGTCCGACTACGGAATCTATCGCTAGGGACCGGGGCGGGGCAGGGGGTAGAACACACGAAACACAGATGCCATGAGCAGCGTCTGCCATGTTTCTCATCTAGAAAAGAAGAGAACAATACTAACTTTACTGGGGTTAAGGGAGACCCGTCCACCAGAGGTGTCCTGGGCAACAATCATCTGCTGGGGGCTCTTTGTCAGACTCCTCTCTTTGGTCCCATCATTAGGAGTCACTGCGGGCCAATAGTCGGCTTCTGGAGCAACTTCAAGAAATCGGGCAGGAGAAGGAGCAATTGACCCATGAGCTGCAGGAGGCTCGGAAGGTGGGCAGCTCTGCAAGGTGGAAAGGCTTGGCCCTGGTCTGTGGGGAGGGAGCGGGTGGTGCGGGCCAATGCCTGGAAACAACAAGGGATAGAAAGTGACCAGTGCCATGAGGATAGGTGAGTGACTTAGCTTGGTCTGTGGGAATGGGGAGGAGGCTGAATTGGGCTCTTTTGCTGGGTCTGGGGAGAGGGTGGGGGGCTCCAGCTAACGTGGAGGGAGGAGGCTGATGGGCATCACCCTGCCTCCAGAGTGCCGAAAAGCGGAAGGCCATGCTGGACGAGCTGGCTATGGAGACGCTGCAGGAGAAGTCCCAGCATAAGGAAGAGCTGGGCGCGGTCCGACTGAGGCATGAGAAGGAGGTGCTGGGGGTGCGTGCGCGCTACGAGCGGGAGCTCCGAGAGCTGCATGAAGACAAGAAGCGGCAAGAGGAGGAGCTCCGCGGGCAGATCCGTGAGGAGAAGGTGGGTGGGTGGATGGCAAGGTCCTTCTGTGTCTCAAAACTCAGGGAGCACAGCATCGCTGATGGGTTCGGGGGTGGCACAGAGCCCCCCTCGTCTGCCCACCTTGTCCTGACAGTTTACCCTCTCCCAGGCCCGAACTCGAGAACTGGAGAATCTCCAGCAGACCGTGGAAGAACTTCAAGCTCAGGTACATTCTATGGATGGAGCCAAGGGCTGGTTTGAACGACGCTTGAAAGAGGCCGAGGTGAGTTGGTGGCTGATGAGGCACAGAGGGCTGGTGGGGCGGTGCAGGGTGGGGGACACCCATGCCACACCAGGGGAGCGGGATTGGTCAGGCCCTGGAACTTTCTGAAGTGCTCTGGACTTGGCTAGCCCCACAGCCCCACCGGCTCCATGGCGGCCTTCCAGAGGGGATCAGGGGATGGCCACCAGGGAGGCAGAAGGCCATATGTGCAGTTTTGAAAAGGCATCCCTTCCTTCCAAACCCGCTTCTGTTAGGAAATTACTGTAATATCCTGATTTTATGCGAACAAGGACTTTTACTGCCGTCGTGGGGAAGAACTCTTCATAACACCCAAGGGGAAGTGGCGTGCAGTAGTGAGGAGTGCGGGGGCTGGAGGCGGCCGCTTGTGTGGGCTCAAGTGCTGGCTGGGCCGCTTGCTCCTTATGGGCAGCTCACCTGGCCTAGGGCCTGTGTGCTTCATCAGTAGTTAAAAAAAAAAAAAAATCATAGTACCAGCCACGTGGGTGTGACGGGGAGATTATATAAACCGAGTTAATGGACGTGAAACCCCTACAACATTCTTGGTGCACAGCAAGTGTCATGTGTTTTGTGAAATCAAATCAAACGAGGCGTGTGTGTCAGTCTGTGGCACAGACAGCGTAGCCCTAGACGTGCCCCACGTGTGACCCGCCTGAGGGCGTGCGGTGTCCCCGCAGGAGTGGCTCCTGCCTGCCTGCAGACACCTGCCATCACGCCCCTCACCGGCCACAGCGTCCTGGGGGTATGGGGGGGGCATGGCTGGACCCGACCCTTGTCTCATAGGAATCCCTGCAGCAGCAGCAGCAGGAGCAAGAGGAAACCCTCAAGCAGTGCCGGGAGCAGCACGCTGGCGAGCTGAAGGTGCCCGTGGCCCGCCGGTGTCCCTCTCTCCCCGGGGGGCGGGCCCTGGAGGGAGGACGGAGGCTGCCCAGGCAGAGGCCTGAGCTGCCCCCTGGTTTGCAGAGCAAGGAGGAGGAGCTGCAGGGGGTGCGGGATCAGCTCCAGCAGGCCCAAGAGGAGAGGGACTGCCACCTGAAGACCATCAGCAACCTGAAACAGGTCCCTGGTCCCCCGCCCCCCCCCACTGTCCCTGATACACCCTGGGCCTCAGCACAGAGACCTGGGGCAGGGAGGAAAGGCACCGCACCCAGCCTTTCTTGCTGTCACCAGCCGTGCTTTCTCCGCCCCACAGGAGGTGAAGGACACAGTGGATGGGCAGCGGATCCTGGAGAAGAAGGGCAGTGCTGCGGTATGATGGGGAGATGGCCAGGCACAGGCCCCTGCTCATGGGACCACTGGGCCTCAGCCTGCCTCTTCCCCTCTCTCTTCCCCACAGCTCAAGGACCTCAAGCGGCAGCTGCACCTGGAGCGGAAAAGGGCTGATAAGCTGCAGGAGCGGCTGCAGGACATCCTTACCAACAGCAAGAGCCGCTCTGGTGTGGACCGGGAGGGCAGGGGGCGCCAGGGTGCTTGGGGGGCAGGGTGCAGGGGAGGTCTCCAGGACCAGGGCTACTTGCTGCACTTTGCTCCACCAGGCTCTTCCGCACTTGCTGTCCACCTTGAACTTGGTCATTCGGTCTGTCTGTCTCTCCTCTGTTTCTCTTGCTCTCTGCGTTACCTCTTTCTGTCTCTCCTCTTGGTCTCTCTGTACCACTATGTGCCATTTCTCTCTGTCTCTTTCTCTCCCTGCTTTCTTTCTCTCTCCTTTTTCTCCTGCTGCTTTTTTCTTCTCTGTCCCTTTAACTCACTCACTCTCTCTCTCTCTCTCTCTCTCTCTCCTCTGTCTCTGTCTGGATCCCCACAACCCTCTCATACACATCCCCACACCTCACTTGGTATCTCTAAATCTCCTGTATCCATTCTCTCATTCTGTAAATGTGGACTGAGCCCCCATGCTCATGTTTGATAGGAAACCCCCCAAAACTCTGTCCTCTGGGAGCCCGGGGTTGAGCGAGGGAGACAGACTTGCATTCAGACAGCAACACTGCGGCTTTCTCACTATGTGGCTTAAATCCATGTTCTTTCTGCCACTTCAGGCAGAAGATGCAACCGGAAACCTTGAGTTGCTTTGGACTTTTTTTTTTTTTTAAGAAGGAGATGGCCTATAAATATGTTTAAATAAATAGATAGGATGCAGTGGTTAGGGCTCTGGTGCATCTCCCATATCACAGGCTCAGAGAAAACTTGCTCCCTTTCCCCCCTGCAGCCACTGGCTCTTGCTGGAGACCCTTGGGGGGAGGGATGTCAGCCCCCATCCCTTATATGTAGAAGCAGCTGCAGGAGCAGAGGCCCAAGCTCAGTGGGCCTGCTTTAAGTGACATGGCAAAAATGGATCTATCTCTCACCCAATCTCTCTCTCCCTGAGGCATTCTGTCTCCTGAAGTAACCTCTTTTTATTTTTTTTAAGATTTTATTTATTTATTTGAGAGAGAGAACATGAGCAGGGGGAGGGGTAGAGGAAGAAGCAGACTGTCAGCAGGGAGGCCGGTGCAGGGCTCGATCCCAGGACCCTGGGATCACTACCTGACCCAAAGGCAGACGTGTAACTAACTAAGCCACTCAGGCACCCATGACCTCTCTTTGTAGAGGGGTTTAGTTTCTGTTTTGCTACAGATTAATATATGAATCAAGCAGATTCCAATGGTGGTGCCATACATTGTCCTTGTCCATTAGATGAAAAGAAGATTTAGGGTCATGGTTACATGTCTGTCTCCATCTTTCCCCAACCTCGTCTCTGCTGACTTGTATCCTTATGCCCCATCTCTGTTGGCCTCTCTGCTGTGGCTCGCTGCCTGTTGAGTTTTCTCTCTGCGTGTGGGCGTTGCTCCGTGCTCTCCCCAGCTGTGGGTCCCCTTTGTGCACACGCCAAGTCCAAGTGCGGATGTCCCTTTATGCCCGGACATGTCCACACTGCCCACTCTCTTCTAGCCTCATCACCATTTTTTCTCTTCTGGCGTGTGTGTTTGCCCAGAGAGGCAGCTCCTCTTTCCATTTCTGCCTCTCCCTGTCATACTGTCTGCCTCCACCTTTCCCATGCCCGAGTGTTACTTCACCTCTTTTCCATCTCTGTCAAATCTATTTCTGCCTCTTCCTGCCAGTCGCTGCCCTGGGACCCTGGGGGATTGGGACTCAGGTTTCTTTTCCCTCTCTGCCCAAGGCCTCGAGGAGCTGGTTCTCTCAGAGATGAACTCGCCCAGCCGGACCCAGACTGGGGACAGCAGTAGCGTCTCCTCCTTTAGCTACCGGGAGATTTTGCGGGAGAAGGAAAGCTCAACTGTTCCAGCCAGGGTAAGAGGCAAAGAAGAGCCGACAGCTCAGCTTCTCTCACTGCAATTCTGGGGCCCTCTTTTTGCCCTCCACTGCAACCATCTACCTTTGTGGGCCCAGCACACACATTTTCTTACCGACTTTTCTGTAAGCTCGCCAACTCGAATTCAGATTGCCAAATGCGGGATGGGCAAATTATTCTCTCATTCTCTCTGTTCCCTCAACTGTGAGCTAATTCCACCTTTCCCAGTGTCATAAAATATGTCACTCCTAGCAAGTACCTCACCCAAGTAGGAGGTCATTTTTCCCAACTCATGATCATCACTCGTTACTGTCGTCTGTTGTGTCAGCTTCCTGGCTGGCTGCTTCTATTTGGAAATCATTTATTATTCCATAAGTTGTATGTGTGCTGTGTAGAAAATTTTTAAAAACACACAGAAGCAAAGATTTTATTTTAAATTTTTTTAAAAAGATTTTTATTTATCCACTTGACAGAGAGAGATCACAAGCAGGCAGAGAGGCAGGCAGAGAGAGAGGGAAGCAGGCTCCCCGCAGAGCAGAGAACCCGATGCGGGGCT